AAGCATACGGCCCCACATATCAGAGAATGTAATAACTTCAAGTCTGAGGATAGTTATATCAAGATCGATTTGAGAATACTGATAAACACATTACTGTAGATGCATGCAGTATTCTCAAGATGGGTCAATCCAGTCACATATTATCGATATAATATGCACCTACGTACATATTAAGATATCACAATACCTATAGTCTATGAGACGCAACTATCTCATCTCATACGTACTAGTCTTGATACGTTATGACGTCCGTATTATCATAAAGTGCGACTAGGGATATTCTAGACATAGCCTTCGTCAAGAAGTAACAGTCTCATAATCAGAACATCGTAGTCCTCATCTATGTTACTAAAGCGCTATCCTCTATGGACTGAAGCTATGTTATGTTACACGAGATATAAAACATACTTCAAGGCCTTTCATTCATGATAAAGTGTACAGTTACATAGGTATTTGATTGCCGCTAGGGCACCTAAATACAACAATATGAAAGCTTGTCGCTAGAATGCTTATCGTCACCATTATCTGCCTGGATTAGTGCCGCCATCTTTGGCATTGTTGTTAAGGTTGGAGCACCTAATCAATGAGTTTTGCTTGTCTACAGGAGCACTACTGTCCTCGATGACGCAACTGCTATTGTCTCCTAATCAAACGCACGAAGGCAAAGTGATGGATTTGATTCTCCAAATTAAAGGCTAACATTTGATTTTGAATTGAGCACTGGATACAAATTATCGAACTATTTGCAATAGCGTCCCCTCTTGTGGTTAGGCCTTTTAAACTAAACAATTATCATGGATTAATCCAAAGTTTACCAATTCAATAAACGACACATCATTAAGTTTTTTTATAATCTTATTTAATAAATTTGTCAAGAATATGAAGTGTGCCTAAATAGCGAGGTTATCACACTATAGAACTTATTGATGTTAATTGTATGTTAAACTAAAATTGTGAAATAGGCCACCTAGTAGTACTAGGCAGATCTTGATTGAATTAGAGGTCATAAACACTAGCAGGATTAAGATAAGAAACAGGCCTTGTGGGGCGCAAGTGCATACCCAATGGCCTTTGGGTTAAAACGTACGTATGCCAGACCAGGACCTATCTAGCAGTGACTGATAGGGGCTCCAACGTGTCTCAAGGAAGTTCTCTTGGTTTCAAGAGTGGCTCCAGGCAGTGACTGGAATGCCCGTGATTTTAGTTTCATGTGGTTGAATCTTAGCCTAGTAGGTTAAGTGTAACAAGAACGAGTAGGATTTGAGTTGAAATAAGTAAACACTTGATCATGGTATTCAATAATGATATTTGTTGAATCTTCTGATATTGTGTAATTATATACTAATGACTGTTAGTCCATGAGTTGTATTAGCGTTAGATACTTCCACACTCAATACTATATGCAGGTAGAGATCAAAGATTGGATGAGCGATTTGGAGCACTATGAGGCGTGACGCTGGTGGATGGCCCAAAGTTGTTGTCTTAATTTAAATACTTTGTTGAACTGGTTTACTTAATTTACAAGAATGTTGGATGTTGTCTAAAGGCTTCTGTAAAGTTTGATTATGTTACTCTTATCATTTTGCGAATTGTTTTTAAATAAATGTAAATTGATGTTTTATTTTAAATGCTTTTAAAATAATTTATGCATTGAATACCAAATTAGTAGCAACCCGATTTGATAACGTGCTGGTTCGAGTTACGCAGGTTGGGGTGTTACAAATTCCATATCATTTTATTAATAATGATGCTCTAAAACTATTATTAGTCTAAGGCTCTAAAACTATTATTAGTCTAAGGCTAATTTATATTGCTAACGAGGCTCTTAAATTATGATTAGTTTAAGGCAATTTATATTGATGACGATGCTCTCAGACTTTAATTAGTTTAAGGCATAACACAAAAATCATGACCTATGTTATAGGTCTTATAGGTCAGCTCGAAACTGAGCGGCGGTCTGCTCACCTTCGGGTTGGGTGGTACCCCTAAACAAATAGATACTTAAGTTTGGTTTGTGTATCTCGTATGTACGTTTTAAGCTAGGCCACCAGATATCATATCACCAAGGCCTTACTAAATTGGTCACATGGGGTCTATTTTAGATTTCTTCTAGATAGTCTTAATCATTAATTTAACACAATAATTTCATAATTGTAATCACTCAATAATACCTTCATCGTAATATAATCAATTTGTTATAATAATTTCATTATTAATAATCATAATTATTTAGGATCTAAACATGCAAACATATTGTTATAATCATAATTTCAATCACAACTATCCTATGGTTTATTTTGTCCATAATAATATTTTGATATTTAATCAAGATAAGATCATCATCATTATTTTATAATCATATTCGCACATGGCACTATTTTTACTTTTAACCATCATGATCAATTTATAATTATGATCATCATCGTATAACGTCTAACAAATAGTGGCATAACGTCGAGTATTAATACTCTAACTTACCATCATACAACAATTTAAAGTTTTAGGATTTTTCAAGTTTATTTTCGAACAAGTTTAATTTTTGGGCAGCGCTGAGCTGCCTTTGGCATTACCTTGATATTGTTGGACGGTAGTTCACTACCGTGTGACAGTAGTGAGCTACTGCTACCGTATAATGAACACAGACATGACTAGTACTTTGTCTTCTTTGTTAGTTACCAACCTTCATTCTAACTATATAAAAATGTTCTCTATCATCCATAGAACATTTTTAAATAGTTTATTTGAAGCTTTAACAACAAAATCAAATTTGGTGATTATGAGTACACAAATATTTATACCATCACATGTATATGAATCAATATATTCAAGAATAACTCCATGCCTTATAGCATCATTCAAAATCATAGTACAAACCTGAAAATCGACGATATGAAACTCAATGAATGAACGAGAGTACAAACAACGTCGCAATTCATAAAGTTCGTCACTTCTTGTCACAGCAACACCAATGCTGGTATTTTGGCCATAACTTCTTCATTACTCAATGAAACCGCAAACCATTTAAAGCTATGATCTATGGATTCGTAAGACATAGTGCTACAACTTTCGTGAAGAAACCATATTAAAACAACAAAGTTTAGGAGGTCATACGTCACCTAGAAGTGGATTGATTAGCATAGAGGTTTTTCTTCTCTTCAACATTCTGGCCCAAGTTCTGGCAACAACTACGGCTAACTTTGGTGACTTTGACGGCGACGATCACTTGCGGCACAATCTTTGAACTCAAGTGAAACTATAGGTAAAAGAATGAAAAAGATTGGCGGAGAATTGAAGGACAACAGAGCTTTCTTTTATAGCAAGAGAATGGAGGAGAAAGTCATGAGAATATCTTCTTCAAATCCTCATTCGGCGATTTCAGCAGCTTAGTGGGATTTTGGGGAATTTCTGACGCCTCTTCCTTGATAGGGACTAAAATGGTCTCAATCAGAGTACACTTTTTGGTCCAACTCCATCCAAAGTGAAATTTGATTATACCGTTGTGATCAGAGAGTCAAGCTCTATGCAACGATATAATTTTATATTTATTTGAAATGCTTTTTCTAGCATCATATTTTTGGGTGTTTGACTTTGATAAAGTCAAAATTGTTTTAATTGACATATAATTAAAAAGATTCTTATATTAAATTAATATTATTCAATCTAATGATTCATTCCTATATATCCTTCTTCGAAAGTTAAACATTATTAATCACTTCTTAATTTTATACCAGTTACATATTTTAATATTTTAAAATTGTCACAAATCAAAATCTCTAAATCAAATTTGCTCATAAAAATATACCGTTGAATTCGTCTTTTCGAGACCCATCCGTAAAACTTAGTTTTAGCAAAATATCATTAACTTGAAAAATTCCTTCATTTTTAGTCAAAGATAGAAATAATACATTGTTGTACCAAAATATAGTTTTAAAAATACTTTTATCATAAACTAACTTTTAGACCATATTTTGGAGCGTTACACAATGGGCAAGATCTATCCGATCTAGGGAATATGTTTAATGGATAGTGCCGAATACGATTAAGATTAGTTATGTGGGGAGAAGTTTAACTAAATTTCTTAAAAAAAGTCTGATATGATTAAGATGCTTGAATGTTATAAATACCTAAGGTTTTGAATAAAAGGGAGCTCTTTTCTTCAGATTATTGAGTTCAGTATTCTTATCTCTTATATAATATTATTTCTGTAATTACTCTGAGATTCTTGTGAGAATAATAGTCAGTGGGGTTAAACGCCATCACTAACTTTATTTATGCCTATCATAAAAAAAGTACAAAATTTATTTAAAGGTGATTTTTTTATTAATTGAAAAAGATAAAAATTAGCAAAAGGAAAGAGAAAGAAAACTAGTTTTAAAAAAACTAGGAAAAATAAAAAACTAAAAAGAAAAAAAACTACAGAAATATGTAAAAGGAAAGAAATGAAAAAAAATAAACAAACAAAAAAAGAAATGAGAAAAAGGAGAAAAATAAAGAAATAAAAACAAAAAATTACAGAATAAAAAAGGGGGGTGAAAAATAAAAAAGAAAGAAGAGAAGGGTGTAAGAATGAAGAAGAAAAAAAGATTGTGGGGTCAAAATGAAATAAACATAAATAATATGGAAGACATTGATGCGTAGCCATGTTTGTTCTGTTCAACTTATTTTTTCAGTTTATTATTTTTTTTATTAAAATCATATTAGATTAGATGAGATCAAATCTTTAAAAAAATTGAGAATCTATTCTAAATTTATCTATGGATTATTACAACTCAACTAAAATTCTAAGACAATAAAACTTGAAATGAATGTTCAAAATAAACGATTACTTATTAAAAAAATATAAAAAAATCAATACATTTAAAATGTATTCCAAATTTCATGTCTCTATTTTTTTTATTTGGTATTTTTTATTGAGTTTTTGAGGATTCTTTTGATTTCTTGAAGAATAATTAAAGTACTTCTAGAATAGTAAAGCCCAAAAATATCAAAGGCTAGCGCTGCTGTGTTAAGAGGGGGTGACTCACAAAGCATATACAAAGTAGCATATTCTTCTTCCTCTTCAGCCGCTCGCAGCCCAGCTAAACCTTATTTTCTTCCCATTTCTAGTTTCGCCAATTCTTCTCTCCTCCGTTTCTTGAAGAATGCATTCCAATCATTTGCTGCTCGAAGAACCCATTAGGATGGCCTCCATCTTGGAGCCATCCAAATCTGTGAGTCTGGGATATTTGTTTATTCTCATAATTGTGATTTTAAATTCAGATCCGGGATTTGCTATATCGGGTTCTGTTTTAACTCTCCTAAAATATGATTTTGTGATTGTTTCAGAATTTCTTCCCTGCAATGACGAAGATCGTGGGGACACTGGGTCCCAGGTCTCGTTCTGTAGATGTTATTTCTGGGTGTCTCAACGCTGGGATGTCTGGTAATATAATTGATTAATGATATCAGCTTATTTTGTTTATAGAATCATCGTTTTTGTGTTGTTTTAATGTTTTAGCGTTTGGGGTATTGACATGCAGTTGCAAGATTTGATTTTTCTTGGGGGGATGCGGATTATCACCAGGAGACTTTGGAGAATTTGAGGACTGCAATTAAGAAAACAAGGAAGCTATGTGCTGTATGTATATAAAACCGTGCTTGTTCTTTTTACATGCAAATATGGACATATGATTGTTTCTAGTCTTCTCGGTGGAGGGTGGTAGTATCTGTTAGCGAGTTAGGCATGATGTAAAACTAGTACTAGTTCGATATCGTATTTTTTCATGCTTTCTGTTTTTTTTGAAAAAAACAAGATTATGAAAACAATAAGAATGAGTTCCCGTTTTTTTGTTGGCAATTTTCAAAACTAACCTTGTTAGTATAAATGCGATGACATTTTAATTTATTTCACTAGTATCGAATTACCACTAAAACTATAAAACAGGATTCAGGAAAATGTAAACTGGCAACAATACCAGAAGCCATAAACATCTTGTTTGTTTTTTGCGCCCTCCGGTCTTTAAAGTAAAATAAAATCAAGTGGTAGTCTTTGTGGTTTTGTTAGTATTTTGATATGTGCAATAGTATGACAGTAAGGTTTAGACTTATAGGTGTGGACTGTGGAGAAATAAGGTTCAAGTATGGTGTATTTGTCCCTTTCAGGTCATGTTAGATACAGTGGGTCCGGAGTTGCAGGTGGTTAACAAAAGTGGGAAGGCTATTTCACTTGAAGTTGATGGAATTGTTACTCTCACACCTGATCAGGGCCAAGAAGCTTCTTCTCAAGTGTTGCCAATAAATTTTGATGGGCTTTCTAAGGTTCATCTATTTTACATTTTTTTATTTATATATGTACCTAAAGAGAGAGAAATGTGTGTGTGCGCGCGCGTGTATTTGTTTTCACGCATTTACAATTTGTTTGATTGTTATGAAAATCCCACCAAGGTGCGGGTGGTTTTCTGTCTACGTCTCAACTACTTTATTTGTACCCCACCTAGCTTTGAGTAATCCCGACTAGGAAATAGGCGTAGTGCAGTACCTGGCGGGTGCCTAGCATTTTCCACCACATTCATTTTTTGTACTTTTTCATACAAATGATGCATACAATAAATGTGCACTTGGTTACTTCTACAGATGACAACTGACAACTTTGCTTTGCAGGTTGTGAAGAAGGGAGACACCATTTTCATTGGCCAATATCTCTTTACAGGAAGTGAGACTACTTCTGTTTGGCTAGAGGTATGAGATCAAGTGTATTTTTTTGTTCTTTCCTCACTTGAATGCACTTTTACAGTTTTACTCATCATATCTGATTGGATAAAGAAATGGGTTTATCATATTTGTGAGTACTGTCAAGTGGATTACCATGTACTAGTTTGAGATTTAGCAAAATATTCTATAGCTTTATCTTTCAGTGTACAAGGTTGGTTTGTTTCAACTCTACGACTTATGGCTCTGAATGACTTGTGCAGGTAGATGAAGTGAAGGATGAAGACGTGCTCTGTGTGATTAAGAACTCTACAACTTTGGCCGGATCATTATTCACTCTGCACGCTTCTCAAATTCATATCGACTTGCCTACGTTATCTGCTCAAGATAGAGAGGTAAGTGGCTTAACAACTGAGCACCACAGACACCATAGGCTAGATTCTAGAATCATGTGCATATTCAAGCTGCAATACAACATTAATATCATATCGTGATGCGATGTAGATGTATTTATGTTAAACTGTTTCATGCGAGCACATTTGTCGTTACAGGTCCCATTGTTGCTGATAGCTTTATGTCTGCCTAGTCATTTATTAACGAATATTGTTATTAGCTTAGTCAATTCTAATTGACAATCAAGTAGAAAATTATCATAAACTTGTGCTGGTTCATTTTTTCGTTCTTCTTTTACATCCTATCTGTATGCTTTCTAAACAAAGATAATTATCATTCTATGTTTTAGGTTATAAGCACATGGGGCGTGGAAAACAAAATTGATTTTCTTTCACTGTCTTATACAAGGCATGCAGAGGATGTCCGTGAGGTGGGCTAAGCATTGATATTTCTCTTTTTTTTAGTGCCAGATGATTATGCATTTTGAGCTTTTTGAAGTAAAAAAATTCCTAGATGTTTCATCAGTCAATTTCAATTATGCTAATGAGAAATGGCTGGATTTGATGTATTTCAGGCTCGTGAGTTCCTGTCTAAGCTTGGCGACCTAAGTCAGACTCATATCTTCGCTAAAATTGAAAATGTAGAGGTAAGTTGTCTTTTAACCATACAGTTGATACCTTAAAATTTTTCTATACTTCTACTAATCACTAATCAGTGTTGGTTGATAGTTTACTTCTATTTGCCCAATACAATGTCAATAGGGTTTAACTCATTTTGATGAGATCCTTCAAGAGGCTGATGGTATCATTCTTTCTCGTGGTAATCTTGGCATAGATCTCCCGCCTGAGAAGGTTAGTTAATTATGTCAATTTAAAGACCACTGCTCCACAGATCTCTTCAACCTCAATATTTTATTTATACTTCTCTTTTTTTTTGTAATTGTATTGCAATAGCTTTGGGTAAGTAGATAAATACAAATGAAATTTTGAGGTCATGGCCAAATTTGTTGTTTATCCCAGAAAAGTGAAAATATCTCAACTATGGAGTCCAGTATTTGATTAAATTTGTGTCATGGTAAGTGATTGATTTCATGATACATTATGTTGCTCCGCAAAAATATTCCATGGGATTTTCAGGTCTTCCTGTTTCAGAAGGCTGCGATGCATAAGTGCAATATGGCTGGAAAACCAGCAGTCATAACACGTGTTGTAGATAGTATGACAGACAATCTTAGACCTACACGTGCTGAGGCAACTGATGTTGCTAATGCTGTACTGGACGGTAATTTTTCAATCTTATTATTCTATCAAATAAGATCATGTTTTTCAAACAAAATAGAATTGATTCGGTGTGGTGCAAGAACACTTTGAGGTCCATGCAACCCCACCCCATCATTTTTGGCATCTTTCTGGCTTCAGCCTTTATATCACAGTTCTCTTGCAAATAAAAAAGTAGGCAGTTAGGCATGTTGCAATGTTTTTCACGTTGTCATGGATTTGTTGTCAAAATTTAACAATATACTGTCATAACCTTTAATTATAGGAACGGATGCTATTCTTCTTGGTGCTGAGACTTTGCGTGGTCTGTACCCTGTTGAGTGTATTTCCATTGTGGGCAAAATTTGTGCTGAGGTAAGATTAGGTTGGTACAATTAGAGAACCAACCGTGTGATTTTCTAAAGCTTTAGCATTGTGATCTTGTTATAAATATAATTGTTTTCACCATTTATTTTCTTGATTTATGTATCGTAACTGATTAACTCTTACTTTTGCTGCTGCAGTCAGAAAAGGTTTTTAATCAAGATTTGTACTTCAAGAAGACTGTCAAATTTGTTGGGGAGCCTATGACACACTTGGAGTCGATTGCCTCCACTGCGGTAGTTTTCTTTAATGTGTTGCTCTTGAAATCGACCCCACCTTTCCCCTCTAAATGAAACTGAAAAAGAGTAGATTCTATAAATAGTCCTTTATAACATGGTGTTATATAGTCCTCAATTCTAAGATATTATGTTCGTGGTCCACTATATTTGAGAACTATTCTATAATCATTTCTTTGTGGACTATATGTGGAAAAACATATTTGGGTCCAAACGACTGTTCATGGAATAGTTCTCAAACATAGAGGAGCACAAACATAATATGATTGAGGACTACACATGGAAAACATTTTGTTGTAAAGGACTATTTATAGAACTTACTCATTGAAAAAGTACAAGAATATCATCCATAAAGCTCACATAAGTTCATTTCTTGTCCCGTAGGTACGTGCCGCCATCAAGGTGAAAGCATCTGTAATTATTTGCTTCACTTCATCTGGAAGGGCTGCAAGGTTAATAGCAAAGTATCGCCCAACAATGCCTGTGCTATCAGTTGTCATTCCTCGCCTCAAGACAAACCAACTCAAGTGGAGTTTTAGCGGTGCATTTGAGGTTATATCCTTTTTTCACTCACGACCAAAATGTCACACGTTTACATCTAGTAGTGTACATGTTTGTGTACGGGTGTTTGCATAGGGCATTGTAGTTTGCTTATTGGACTAAACGAAAATAATAATGAAACGATATGGTATAATTTTTTATGAAGTTTTGATGAAGTTTTGGACACATTAAAATTTTTTAGCTTATTACTTTTGATGAAGTTTTGGACAGTGAATGCATCAAAGGGTGTAACAGAAACAACCTATTTGTTATTTACTGGGGTATGGTTGTGTAGATCTTGACCCTCCAGACCCAACAGAGTTGGGTTTGTCTTATTTTCACAATTAGTTTTCATTGTTAATCCAGATCACATTATCCCTTTTCAATTTAATCATTTGTAATTAACTTTTGAATTTGGTTGTGTTTCTTCTGTAGTACCTCTCATGTAGTTTCTGTGTGTGTGTTACTTGCTGCTGTTAAACCTTGTGAGTAACATAATTGCTACTTATGTTTCTAGGCAAGGCAATCCCTTATTGTTCGTGGTCTCTTCCCGATGCTTGCTGATCCTCGACATCCTGTAAGTTTTCATTTTATGCTGTTACCCTTCTGTCTAGAAGACTATAAATAATCTTGCCGAAAATTCCCTTAGATGTTGGTAATTTGTATGATAATCACATGCCAAATAGGGGGGAAATCAACCTAATTCTCGTCCGTTTTTACAGGCTGAGTCTACAAATGCCACAAATGAGTCTGTACTAAAAGTTGCACTTGATCATGGCAAGGCCTCAGGGGTTGTGAAGTCGCACGACCGGGTTGTTGTTTGCCAGAAAGTGGGAGATGCATCTGTGGTCAAGATTATCGAACTTGAGGACTAAAAGCTGCTACACGTTTTCGCATCATCTCTATCACAGTTTTTCGCGGTGGAGGTGGACCCCGCCAAAGCCGTTACTGTGACTGGGGATCGCGTGTTTTGGATTCATACAATTTCACGTATAATAACGCGTAGTTTGTACTGATGGGTAAACCTATTGATCCAAACCCTTTTTTTTGTCTGCTTGTGCTTTTGAAAATGAAGCTGTCTGTATTTCAGGGTTTTCAGATTTCTGCATCATTTGTTGCCACACTTCAAGAATAAAAGTCTAGCAACTAATTGCAAAATATAATTCTTTCGGAAATATCAACACAAATTTCGTATGGCCCCTCTTTTTTAATAACACGCTTTGTCATAATGTGACAATAAACGCAATTGGGGCACCTACGGTGTTTCGTTTGTAATGATGGTTTCTATCCCCTTAATGCCCCTTCCCCTGAATAGCTGATTGTTGTCTAAAAGAATGTACTCCGTAATTTCTAATGATGTTCTGACTTGTACTCCTATTCCAAACTAAGGTTCTTGTTTTGGTTTACAATGGTTTGGTTATACTCTATGTAGTTATTTTCAGTTTAATACTTTCTCCGTCTCAAAATGTTTGTTGCATTTGTTTTTTCAACAGTCATGAGAAGTTTTATTTATTTGTGCGCTTTCATTGGTTATTTGATAAATAAGATTTTTTTTATACCTCTTATTTTTAAAGAATTTTTCGTGTAGTTTTCAAATATGTAAATTTTATTTTTTATTTCGTTACCAATATTTTAAAAAATGAATTGAAAAAACTTGATAATTTGCCCCGTTTTTAGAAATATGGTAAACACTTAAATGAATGGAGTAGGAGTATATTTTCAAAAATGGTTTAGACAATTAGAAATAAAAATATATGGAGTATATATATTTACAAATTATATCAATTCTATAAAATAAGTAGTGATTTGACTGTTATTTTATTTAACGAAGAAGATATAAGTTGACAATATGGATAGTAAAGTGGAATCTTGTTTTGGGATAGTAGTATTTTTTCCGAAACATTGAAACCAATACTTCATTAAGTTGTCTGTTACGGAGTACTTGTCATCGTAAACTTTTATGAGTAAAATACCTAAACTATTCCAAAAATAAGTCACTCTTCTCCACTTTATCTTCTCCTTCATCGTCACCCCTCCTAAAAAGTAATGACAATTTCGAAAAATCAACTCTATTTTTTATTTCCTTAAATATGCCCAAAAGTCAAAACAAACGTTTTAAAACGGGACGGAAGGAGTACTATTTTCCTTCTTTTTGTCTCTAGTTTTGGGTTCAAAATCAAACTGAATATGTAAAATTCACCCGTATATTATGTCAAGCATTTTATCATCAAAATACATATTAGTACTTCTTCCGTCCTAAATTAAAATGTATGTTTATTGTTCAAAGACTCAAATTTTATTCACTTTCTTTTTCTATTTTTAGTAGTCGTTTGATAAAATAATATAGTTGTGTCACCACTAGTTTTGTAGATCTTTTGATGTAGTTTTTAAATATTTAATTTTTATTTTTTAATTATACACAAATGTTTATATAAAATAATTTAGAAATAACTTCAGTCGAGCATCGTAATTCAAAACAAGCAATTTTAATTGAGACGGAAGGAGTAGTATATATAATTTGATTCATACATTACAAAATCATAAACTCAATATAATTTGTGTTCGTCGATGGAGTTCGATTAAAATCAATGTCAACGCAAATTTTTTTTGATCGAGTATTTTGATATGTGATGGCTTTAGATTAATGTTTGTCTTAGCTAACACAAGGGGATGAGTGGAAAGTTTTCATGTATTTTTGTAAGAAGGACGTTATGAACCAAAAATTGCTAAGTGAATTTTTGAACTCAGAAGTGGAAAGACGTTTTTCGTATAGTAAGAAATACAGTATTTTTGAGCAAATTGGTAAAAGAAAGTCTTGATTATTTTCGTAAAAAAAAGTCTCAATAGTGCAAAAGCAATTGTAAGACGGACAATGTTGTATGGGCGAAATGTTGGCCAATGTGCAAAACTTCGAGTACTAGAAATGAGGATGTTAAGATGGGATGCACGGAGATTCAAAGATGGATAGAATAATGAATCATCCTTCCTCCGTCCCAAATTATAATAGCTGTTCACTATTTACATGGTCAAACTTCACTCACTTTCTTTCTCTATTTTCGTTAGCAATTTGATAAAATAAAATATTATTGTCACTTCTAGTTTTGCAGATCTTTTGATGTGGTATTTTAATATATAATTTTTATGTTTGAACTCTTTACCATTTGTTATATAAAATGATTTGAAAATAATTTCAGTCAAATATCGTAAACCGAAACAGGCACTATAAATTGGGACGGAGATATGATAAAAAATAGTCATATCACCACTTGTGTTGTAGGACTTTCGGTATACTCTTTTAAATATGTAGTAATTTTTAGTTTTTAATTCCACTCCAAATCTAATGTAAACTAATTTGAAAATAAAATCAAATATCATTAACCAAAATTGACACTTTAAAATAGGACGGAGGGAGTTTAATACTTACTCCCTGCGTCCCAAAAAATTTGCCACTTGTTTTTACAATAGTCGCAGAAACTTTTGTTAATTTCTACATTTTTATTGGCTATTTGATAAAATAAAATATTTTTGACACCTCTTATTTCAAAAAACTTTTCATGTTTTTTGATAAGTAAATTTAATTTTATATTTCTATACCAATATGTAAATAAAATGATTTAAAAAAACTTACAAATACCTAAGGACGGAGAGAGTATATGATTTTTTAGGTCTCGGTTATGCAAGCAATCAAAACAGACACAGTTATTTACCCCGTGATTGATTTAGCTCTATCTGTGGTGGTCAAGAATTTCTTCAATTTGGTTTTTTCTTGACTTGTTAAATAGAAAAATGCTAGGTGTACACCACCCCCTCCAATGCCCACATATTTTGGCAAATAAAATAAACAAGAAATAAAAAAATAAAAATAAATGGTAGAAAAATGAGTCGTGTACATTTAGGGTACACCTTTGATATACCCCTAACATCAACTACAGTAGCAACACTAGGACCAACGCAATTGCAATAACTACCTTTATTTACATAGTAAAAGATTTCGTCTAAAAATGTCTAGTTCATCTTCAAACAGTCTATTTTATAAATAAATCTTTTATCATTAAATTTTGTTCCAACAAAAACCTGAGCACAACTAGTTTTCCGCAGAGCTCGACGACATTCTTACTTGCCAGAGCGAATAGGGATTAGAGAACCGGATGGCCTAAACATAATCAATAACTTCAAAATTTAAAAACAAGAGAAAATATTCTGCCATGGGTCTGAATTACTGGTGGGATACAAGAAACACCCCAAAGTAGAGTGTCTGTACCAAAAGGACACACAAGTATCTCTTGATTATCGAAATTACTCATAAACTGTAAACCAAAAAAAAAAGGAGGATAGAGAGCTTAGCGTTTTCCACCGCCTCCTCCAAGCTTAGGACCCTTTGCTTGTGCACCCCCCCTGGGGACGTTACCCTTCCCTGCCTTCTGTGATTTGGCCAGCACCTCTGCTTTCTTAGCCTTCTTCTCATCTTTTGTTTTCCTAATCCGTTCCTTAATTTCACTGACCAAACAAGAACCCAATTTAATCATATATTAAAAGATCTTTAATTTTGTCTAGTGTGAGTGTTAAAAGGCTTAGATTGTGTTGGTTTGAAGGGAGGCTTGGTGTATATCTCAATTCTCCCGTACACTCTGAACCAAACAAAAACCTTAGGGCAAACATACCGGAGAGCAGCCTCCCTTGCAGCATCTCTGACCTCTGGTTTTTCAGATCTTTTCTTCTGGATTACCTCCAAGGTTGCACCAACAATAGATCTAGAGTAAGGCTTTTTTGTGGCACGTCTCCTCTTTTTGGCAGTCTCTTGTGCAAGATCCTTGGAAGTCCCAAAAATAAAAGTCGATTAAGCATGAGCAAAACTCAGATATTACACACGGGTGTAAAATGCAAGCAGGGTAAGAAATTATCTTTAAGATGAAATAGTCCAAGTTTCTAACACAAGTTATCAAAAAGATGAAGATCAATGAAGATAAAATTGTTTTGAGAGGATTGAAGTTCATGAAAAATATTAGATTACGCCTGTCAAACAGATATGACGATGAACCAACTAAACTGAACATACAAATCAATCAAGTACATGGTTTTTGAGTTCCTCACCTTCTTGTGCTGTTTTCTGTACACAGCAGTCCATGTAAGTTTGGCAGGCTTCAGACGGTTATGGAAATATCTCTTACATTTTGAATTGACAAACAAGAACACCTATAACAAGGAAGTGCCCTTAAAATGCAACCAAAACTCACATACAATGGAACTCAAAAGTCACCAGAAAATAGATGGAAATACAATAGCAATTTATAAACACAAACCTGGGAATCTTGGCGCACAAATCTGATGCCCCTACCAGGATAAATCTTGCCACCACTAAACCGGCAAAGTTCAGTCCTGAAATCACAAGAAAATGAAAATAATTTCATGGTATTAGAAAAATATCATGCCTTGTGGAAATAGCATCATGCTCTTCTCCACACCTTTGAAAGATTCAAAAACTTAATTAATGAAGGATGAAACGAATGTAGAATGAGAACTGTTTCTTGATACAAGAAAACAAGTGAATTTTCAAAACAAACCTTTTTCCAATTAAAAAAGAAAAAGGAATGCCATATCTTATGTCAAGGAACCACTCAACCAAAAGTGCAAGCTTGTGGCAGGCCCATAAAACTGATAAAAGATTTCCATTTTAAAACCCCTCACGTCTCTCGTGAAGTAACTTAATTTTTTTAAAACTAGGTAGCATACTAGCATTGAGATTTGAGATTTAAGCTCGTGACATCTTGGTCAGGAAACAACTAGCCCAAGAGAGATTTTTATATTCTAAGATTCTTAATAGCATCGGGCAATGATGACAAGTTTTTTTATTAGAGATAAATGGAAAAAAGAATTTCCTGGAGCATGCAAGTGTGCAAATTCAATATCTCCACCCATTTTTACATGTTCTGACATGCTCTACTTCCTATAAAAGGCTCCACAATTGACTTGACACGGAAATTATGAAAAGTATTATGTGATTGAAAGTAATGCACAAGAGATAGATATTATATATGCCACAAAAACATTTCCAAAAGTGGAGAGTGATTCTTTTGATACCGACAAAAAAATGGAAACTTTTTATGGGACGGAGGGAGTGCTAAAATTTAATACTAGATGTTCCTTAAAAAATGTTTCACCATGTTATGGTTTCTCTCACATTTTACTCATTTTAAGTTTAAAAGATGTTTGAAATCTAGCTTTAAGATTTGATTATGAAAAATTAAAATCAATTGAAAATTGAGTTTATAAACACTGGTGGAGGTTATTCTACTACAGAATTTAATAATTGAAGATTATCATTTTCTCTCAGGACCCTGCAACTTACATTCCCCTGGCTATTTTCAAATTTATCTTCAAGTAAAGATCAGGCATCAATGGGAAAATGGCACAGCCGAGAAAATTGTGAGGATCCAGTTGTTATATAGCTAGTTGATGTACTTTTTATTAAGTATATAGATGCGATAATTGTATACTATTTCGCATAATTTTTTGCTAGTTTATGCATTCATTTTACATTTTATTTACGTAAAACAAAAGGTTTAAAAATCCACAAAGCATATAATCATAACATCGAAGAAACCAGATTAAGACATAAAATGAGCGGAAAAAGATTCTTCGCGAGGAACTGAAAATCGGAAGATTTTATGGGTAAAATTAAATGCTTAGTCCATAGCTGAACAGATCGAAAAAAACATATCCAGAATATAAAAAAACGAACAGAAGAACATTAACATTAAACAGTGGAAATAATCAGAAAAGATGTGAGGAAGGCGAAGAAGGCTTACTTGAGAACCATGGCTGATGAGTGATGATGGTTCGGTTCTGAGCAAGGTGGTAGACAAACCCTAGAGGAAACGAACGATTGTTTAATTTATCAACGAAAATTGTGGACTTTTGAATGGGCTAATGGGCTTAGAAACCTGTCCAAATTTGCAGACTTAATATTTTTTTTATGATGCAGCCTTATTATTGATTGATGACAAGATTTTTGTAAGGCTTATACGTAGTATGTTGGACTTGGGTCGTTGCCCCAAAAAAGGTCAAAATTGCTATGAAATAACTACCTAGATCACATAGGACTAGAGTTGTCAAATGAATCAGTTAGGTCAGATTTGTGTTTGTTCACTTTAGGTTTGGATAAATTCAAATTGAAAAAATGCATGTTCATGACCAGTTTCATCAAGTTCGGGTCGATCAGACGGGTATGATTTTTATTTATTTTTTAAAATTGTAAGTAATTTTTAGATGTATAGATAAATATTAACAATAAAAACTAAATATGCAAAAGTTTGGAAAAACTAAGATAATACTGTGATATCATTAAACTAATATTGTGATTCACATTACTCCCAATTACAAACAATTAATAATAATAATAATAAGAGGTTAAGATAAGAGCTCCTAACAACTATTCAAATATACACGAGAAGATAATATTAAATATATACCACATGACGATGACGACGTTCAACAGAACCATTATGTTCATGAGTATGGGGAGGACGGGTGAAGTGAGAAATGCCATGGCGGGCGAGAAAGGGACGCAGTTTAAGGAACTCGCCCCATTATCAGAAAAAATGGAGATAATTTTCCTGTTAAAGAATTTTTCAACCATGGTCTTGTAATGAACAAAAATAGAATAAAAATCACTTTTTTGTTTCATGGGATAGAGCCAAACATATTTGGTGAAATGGTCAGCAAACAGAACATAATATAAGTACCCATCAACGGAAACATCAGTACAAGACCAAACATCAGAATAAAGCAATTGTAATGGAAATTAACTAACAAGAGAATTCTCATGAAAGGGGAGTTTATGACTCTTATTAATGGAACATGAAGTACAATGAAAAACCTGAAGAGCAGTAAGCGGCACTCTCTGATTACATTGGTCTATGATGCAGACCAGAGACAGAGAGCTGATTGACACGAGGTGGACAAGCTGGCACAACATAGTAAACACCATTGTGAGTTTTACCCTGAAGAAGAGGCACCCCCGTTGCCAAATCCTTTACAGAAAAAGACGAGGGGAAAAATTCAACAGAAACGCAGTTAGTTTTGCATAGTTGTGACACAAAAATAAGATTGGTGGTTAATTGAGGAACACATAGAACATTGTTGAGAGAAATAGGACGAGATGCAGTAGGGAGAGAAGTATGGCCAATATGAGAAGTCCGTAAACCCGTACCATTACCTAGACGAATCTCATCAGGACCGCCGTAATCAGAAAATGAGTGCAGAGGCTGAGGCATGGGAGACGTGTGAAGGCTAACACCAATATCAAATATCCATTGAGTGGGAGCAGAGGGAGACGACCCAGAGGTATGGTGAACAAATGGAGTGCTCCCGAAGGGGGTGGCGACATGTCATTGTCACGAAGAAGGCGATCTAGCTTGCGATAGACCTTGATATCATGACCAGGAATTAAGCAAAACTGACAACCCCCATCATGAGGCGAGGTGCGACTAGCGCCATTAAAAGGACGACGACTACCACCATGATAGGCCAGAGCATCCCGTGGCACTGATCGGCCATTCTTGGAGAACGTGGCTCGCTGAGTAGAACTAGCAGTGGCCACAATCGTTTGAGTGGCAGCATCCGAAGCTTGAAGCTTTCCCTCTATGTCACGTAAGACATCACTGAGTTCGGTAAATGAGATGGTTTGCTCACGAAAACAAGCACGATAGGTGTGGGGGTCATAGGCTTCACCAACTTGATTGAGGACATGAACCACTAGATCCTCTTTAAAAATAGGATTTTGAACGAGAGCCAATTCGTTTGCCAGACTCCACATTTCATGAAGATATTCGGTGATAGATCGATTCCCACGTGGATTTTTCCCAAGCTTGGACTTGAGACTAAGAACACGACCACGACTTGCACCTGCAAAACTAGAGTGCAAGTTGAGCCAAGCCTCACGGGCAGTACCCGCCCGTGTTAGAGATGAGGGGCTAAATTGTATCCGAGCAGCTGCCAAGAAGAGCTCCAATGATTGATTGATCCTGTCTATACCAAACAGAGTAACACGGAATAAAGGTGCCATCGGCTTGAGAGCACGACAGCGCAGTAACACTCCCATCAACAAAACCAAGAAGATCAAGTCCAATAAGAGTGGATTGAACTTGACGTTGCTAGATTGCAGAGTTGGTGTTGTTTAATTTGATGGGGAGATGAGTTTTGGAATGGAGTTGGACAATAGGCGTGTCTTTGGTGATAACCCTAGGAGGGGGGATCGCAGACGCAATTGATGGCGGTGATTGGCATAGTGGTGACACGGTGATGGATCGATGAATCAAAAAAGAATAATAGCTCTGATACCATATAGAAGCTTAGGGAAACAATTGAATTCACATTAATCACAGATGATGAATAAATAAAAACAAGAGGTTACGACAGGTGAGAGATCTACTCTATAGATAATTACAAACAATTAATGATAATAAGAAGAGGTTAAGATAACAGCTCCTAACAACTATTCAAATATACAAGAGAAGATAATATTAAATATAATTTAAGTATTATCCTTGATATCTGAAAATATAAATTTATACATTAAAAACAACTATTAAGAAAAAATAATTATAATCTTATTTTAGTATTATATTTCATATTAAAGTATATGATTTTGAAAAACTCTTAAATTAGTGGGTCGATCAGGTCGGGTTAGAGTTCGATCGGGCTTGACCCATTCTTAGCATGTCGTTTTGGGCTCGGTCAACTTTGGGTTCGCTTAACAAATTTTTTGTTTAAAACTCATTGTTTTCGAGTCGGGTCTAAGATCAAAACTAGGTCGAGTAATTTTTTGTCAGATCTGGTGACCGGGCGTGCAAGCATAAAAAAGTTCATAAGTGCATGTTCGACTTAAAACATCATCCAAAAATTACTCCACATATAAATACACATAAGTAGAACACACAAAGGCCGGATGTATAGTTTTTCCGCTTTGTTATCAAACTCTGAGAGGGTTGTATTGCATATGGATTTTCTAGAATTTTAATAGACGTCCATGAGTCCAATGGATTAGATATATTCAATTTATACATTTTAAAATCTATACAAATCTAGATTTTTTTGAATGCTACAAATCTAGATATATACATATATATATATATATACATATATATATATATATATATATATGTATATATATATATATATATATATATATATATAATATGTATGTATGTAAGTGTGTGTGTGTGTGTATATATATATATTATAGATTTTGGTTCTGATTAGAATGCGATCTTATGAAAGAAATAAGAATGAATCTGGTTTTTAGATTGTGAGATCTAAGAGTTAGGATTGCATCAAAACTAGGTGCACCAAAATGGTTTGAAAATGCATCATGTTGAAATGCACCAAAATCCTTTAAAAATGCACTATCTCAAAATCTGAGTGCATGATGCAATCTAAGCCGCACGATGCATCAGATCTAAAATTTAGATTTTATTCTTATTTTTTTTCACTAAGGTGCATTTTCATCTGAACAGACCTTATATATATATATATATATATATATATATATATATATATATATATAAGTCTAATGGTATTCTCTTGAGACTTTTAAAAATGAATAAAAAGTTAGTGCTATTCAAAATAATTTAAGATAGTGTTTGGGAACTAGTATTTCATTTCAATTTATGCATTTCAATTCCAAAATTTGAAATCTTAAATTTCAAATGACAAGGGAAGGATTATGAATTTCAAATTAAACCTTGTTATGGAACGAGAGAATTTTACTTAAAATCTAAACTCATAATTTTTTAAGTTTCCCAAGCAAAAAATTTGAACCAAATCTGGATTTGAAATCTAAATCCATATTCTCAAACATACTTTAATGGTGCATAAACTTGAATTTGGATTTCAAATCAGAATTTGAAGTAAATTACTTGTTTGAGAACTCGAAGAATTTGGATTTTGATTTGACAAATTCTTCTTTTTTTTTGAAGTCACCAAATTCTTCTAATTCAAGAGAAACTTAACTACAAATTAACACTTCTCATATCATTTATAAATTCAAGCTCAACCCTTCTTTAAGTTATAACTTACAATTAAAGACAGATTTCTCATTATGCAACCACAATTTCATACATATGGACTTTCGTCGCCGTCTTTGCCGACTTCAAAGTTCAAATACTAGAATTCAACTTAAGTTATTTTCCAAACATTTGAAATGATTTAGCGATCCATTCGCAACAACTCGTAGTTTTTTAGGTGTGGTCGCTCAAATGTTCATTCCACGGGAATAAAAATCTATTTACAAGTTGTCAACCCGGTTAGATTCAAAATGGTCTAAATGTCCACATGAGGAGTGCTAAGAAGCATCATACCTCGGAAATTGAAAAGAAAAAGGAAAAATTACCCAAAATAATCCCAACTTTACCCGATCTTTCAAAAATAATCCCACCTTTCACTGTGATGCATAATAATCCCAACTTTATTGAAATTTGCCAGTTTTGGGTCGCCGTTAAATTTCTAACGGAGGGTTAACGGAAATGCCCGTTTTAGGCAAGAAAATGAAAGTTGGGATTATTTTTGATGAATTTTTGTTTTTTAATTTTTTTTGAAATTTTTATTTAAAATTTTTGAATTACTTTCAATCTCAATTTTTTTTCTTTAAATTTCTAATAAGAATGGAATCTTTTTTTTATCTATATTTTTTATTACTTTTACTCTTTTTATTGATTTTGGTATGTTTTAATTAGTTTATTTATTACATTAGTTATCTTTAATTTGTCTTTGACCATTCTTTATTTTATTTATATATGCCTCACCACCCAAAATTGTAAAATGTGTGATATGCCTCAGTTAATGTACTACTTCTTCCGTCCCAGAGTATTTGTCCACTTTCATTTTT